TGATATAATTTTTTGCTTATTCCTCTATATCACAGCGTCTCTATTATTATTTTGTTAATAATATATTTTGATAAACAGCTTTCTTACAAGATACTATGCATAAATGTGCCATTCCTGATATTTTATAATTTCAATATGACTTGAATGCCATCAAATCGACGTTAAAAGAATCGAAAAATTTCTTTACACGTATACACTAGTGTTCAACGCCCTCTTTTCTATCAGAGATTGACTGTAATTTTAATACAGTGGTGAAAAAATGTATCTACATTAAAGTGTATGTGGCTTATCGCCAGCTACGACCGAGTGTACATTTTCTCGTTTTTTGATTCATTGTTGCCTACTTATATTGCTGGCCATCTGTCGTGGTCGCATGTTATAAAATCTGGATATAATACTTTAATATATAGCTATTTGATTGAACAGCTTGTTATTTTGCCGATCAACTGCATTCTCTTAACATTGCATTGAGTAATTATGTTAATGGGTAAAAGTGAAATTCACATGGAGAAAAATAAATAAATGATGTTTGAAATGTATGCAGTTCTTCATCGATTGTTTAAATCAAAAACAATGAGTAATCATGTTCTACCTTTAGGCTTTGACATAACATAACACGAATTATAAAAGAACATAATCGTACATAAGATGACTTGAAAAGCATCTTAATGTTATCATGACGAAAAGAATCGATGTGAATTTTAAAAACAATATATTCCAAGGTAATTTATTGAAAATATTCAACTATTATTTGAAAAAAACTGAAGAGACAAGTCTCATTAATTGCTTATTCCAGAAGTTGTAATTGATATTAATAATGTAAAAGCAACGTAGTTATGATTTTCATGTTGATAAATAAATATTTGCCACAGAACAGAAAGACAATTAATAGATTGTTATTTTATTGATTTTGATTATATCTTTATTTCCTATAGTGAAACACTAACAAAAAATGATATAAAGAATATGAGTAAAAAATGTAGAACAATGAAAAATGTGATGTAAATGACTTTTTTAAATTGTTGAAAGTAATTCAAGTTGATTCTTATTTTTCCTTTTTAGCTGATGAAGAAATTGGGATAGGAAGAGAATACCTAAAATTCTACAATCTGAAACGTGTATTCGCAAGGTATTTCTTCAAATAAATAAACTTTTATATTTTTCTTCTGATTTTTGAAAGAGCAATGGCTCCAGCAGAAAAAGTGCAAGCTGAAGTAGAAGAACTCCAAACTCAGATTCCGTCAGATCCTATAGAATATCTGAAATAGCTCGATAACTTCCGACAGGAATTCGAGAATTTTTCAATAGGATTCTGTTGGAAACAGTCGAATCCACTTAGGATTTGATGGGCTCACTTTGAATCAGGGCTGTCAAATCCAAATCTAAAAAATCAGGAGTATCTCAGTAAAAGACCAGTAGTTGACCAAGAGATTTTACCGAAAAACCAGGAGAGAAAACCAGTAGATCTTTATGGAACTGAAGTAACTATTTGACTGGCTTGTCTCGAAAGAAACTGAAGTTTTCGTTCATATAACTATCTGTTTCTTTCTACTGTTAAGTTACTATTGACAAGGCTATGCTCTAAGTGATGCATAACGAAGAGAAAGAAAGATAATTTATGCATTTTTCCAAAAATAAACGATCTAACGAATTCGATAAATATTCGTTTTTAATGTTCACAAATAAAGTTTAGTCACTTTCATGCATGATCATGAAGCAGTTTTCGATTTGAATTTTTTCCAGTGAAAAAGAATCAGTATTTTTACTTGATTTGGTAAAGTTTGTCACAAAAATTTCCTCTAATAATTCTCAGACTTCAGTGTTCTCATCTTCTTGCAACGTATGTATTCGATAAATATACAGTCGGTTCTTTCTTTTTATTCACAGTTGCCTAAGTCTTTGCTATAGGATTTGTTTATGAAATTGATCATCTTAATTTTGTAGAACTCAAGCAGAAACAATGTGTTTTCTTATCGGTTGTTGTATCTATGAAATAGTGTGATAGATATTTTTCTTTGTTTTATTGAATTCAACATGTCACGAAAACTAAGAGTAATGAAATTCTTAAAAACCAGGAGAGAATCTAAAAAACCAGCTTCTGGTTCCAGGAGATTTTTTTACCAGGAGAAAAATCTAAAAGCCAGGAATCTCTTGGCTAAATCAGGAAACTTGGCAGTCCTGCTTTGGCTTTATATATAGGCACTAGATATTATTTGCCTCCACTTTGCGTACAGTGTGCTTTATTTTAATATTATATTTTGTTCTTGAAAGACAAATTCAAATAACCAAAAATAAACTAAAAATGAGCAAAATGAGAGCCTTTTTTGTGTTAAATAACATTTTGTCTAACTCGAATAGTTCGAAAACAGGTTTGTAATGACAAACTGGATTGAGTAGCTTGCCGGCACTCTCGGAAATGGTGTTTATTAGCTACTTCACATACAACATACACTTATATAGGAGAGAGTGATGAACACAGGAAAGAACAATAGAGAGAGGAAATAGGAAAAGAAGATCAGTGGAGTGTGACATCAATATCGGTACAATGTTCATATTATCACATTATTTTAATCACGTGTTAATCTACTTTGACAAAAGTTTTGTCATTGTGTCAGCTTAGATACATTTTATTTATCTTACATGAACACAGCTTCGTTTTACCATAAAAAATATTGAAAATATAATTCAAAACTTGATACTTTCACACCATCGGGTTTCATAGGATTCGATAGATTCCTACAATGACAGATATCATTGGAGCTAATTGACGGAATCCGATAGTGCAAAAGCATAGGAAATCGATGGTTTCCAACAGTTGGTATCTGATCGAATGCCGACTAGCAGATATTATCCGACAGAGTGTGGGTGTGCAACTTAGGTCTGGATCTTTGTTTCACTCACATTCTGACTCATACCCACAAACACTATCACACACTCTTATTTATTAAATAAAAAACCTAAACAAATACTCTTCTCTTTACTATGATTGAAAATATCTTTGTATTAACTTCATCAAATTACTTCGACAGTTAAAGATATTAAATGAAATTTTGTTACAAAGCTTAACTTTTATTTTATGAACAATTAAAGAAAAACAAATATATATATGATTAAATGATTCCCCGACAGAAGTTAAAATGAGAAGCTTTTGACCTTTTACAATTGATATTATTATTCCAGAAAATCTTTTCTAATAATAAGATCAGAATATTCTTGATTACTTGGGAAGATTTAATAATAAAAAAGAAAACTTTATTGAATATAATTAAAACTGTTTTTGTAATATTTCAAGATTTATAGAGAGAATAAAAAATATCAAAATTTCGAATAGAATTGATGGAAATATTTTAATAGAATTCTTTTAATTTCCATTAAACGAAATAGAATTCATTGATATCATACCGAAGTTTATTGTATGTGGGAGAACAATCAGTAATTTAACAAGATATTATCCTAGTTATCATAGAACAAACGATTTTTAGAAAAATCTTCTATAAATCAAGATACGAAATCCTTATTTAATCATTTATTTCAGTTATCAGTTTCAAGCTAACAATTAATTGGAGAGATTTTCGATGATTTAGAAGATTGAGAGTTGAACAAAATCTTTTTCAATAATTCGAGGAGTTGTAAATAGAAATTTGTATTCACATTGTTTATTTTAAAAGACATTTTTTTTTTGTCAAAATATTTGTTAGCTTCTGTGTGTGTTCAAATAAACGATTTTTTTTTTCGATTTGAATTTTTTTTCTCATACATTATAGTTTCGACGATTTGCTCATTCTTCTATACTGCGTCTAATTGTGTATCAAAATGCACAGAAAAACATCCAGTCATCTTATCGATCTTGATTCAATGAAGTTCTGACCTTGTAATGAAACTTGTGATTGTTTTCCATTATTATCAATAGTAGTCAGAAGAGTACATGACATACTAGCTACCAGTACTTTGGTAGAAAGATTATTGAGCGTAGCTGAATTGACACTTACTCAAAGACAAACACGTTTTTTATTAAGTCAAATTAATAAGATATTGCTCATTGGCTCATGCGAGAAATTCAAAAACAAGCAATAAAAAAAAACTTATCCTTTATCGTTGCGATCTATTTATATTGATTACATTGTGAATTTTTGTACTTTTTTATTTGTTCTCTACTTCTTTTGTTCGTCTTATAAATATCAAGATTTTTTGTTTCATTTCATTTTTGCTGAACAGCATTTGATAAAAGTTTGTTAACATGATTATTGTAAATGATTTTTATACAAAATAGTATTACCATAATATTTGACATCGTCCCTCATATTTATAGAAGTTTTTATTGTTGTCAAAAATGCAATGAAATGACCGTCTTTCAGAACGAACTTTTTGATGTTCTGGCTGCAGCTCGCAAAACAAGAATTAAATGAATAATAGATTTTGGTTATTTTCTTCATGATATAATCAAAGATAGATTGGAGGATAAAAGAAAAAAGCTATTTCTTCTAAACAAAAACAGAAAATAAGTTAAATCTTAGATTTTTCCATTAAATAAATTCATATAATCATTTTAGAAATAAAGTTTTATTTAGTTTAGTAAAGTGTACTATTCTGCAAGAAATGTAAAATACTGTATATGTCAAAAGTAGCAGATGTTCTATACATTTTACTTCTACTTGATAAACCTGCCATTGGAAACAGTGCACTTCGTGCTATATTTATTCTGAATGGCCCATTATATTGACTAATGATAATCTAATAAAAGGTTTTTATTAAAAAGAAATTTTTTTAGATTCAAAAATAAAACTGTTTTTTTTTCTTTGCAAATTAAATATTTTTTTTTTCTAAATTTTTCTTTTTATTATAATCAATATTCAGCGCTACATCCAATCAGAACAAACTAGCGCTAGTATAGCCACATAAACTAAACATGTCGATCTGTTTTTTTTGCTTGCGAAAAAAAATCGACTAAGAATCTGAGGTGTCAGGAAAATTGTTTTCTTTTATTATTTGATAGATTCAAAATGCCAGAACCATCATCACCAGAACATGTTTACGGATTCAATAAATGGTCTGATCTTGGTTATTCCACAATTGATATGCTTTATTTACGACCTGTACGATGGTTTCATCGAAATGTAGTCGAACGTCTTCGTGGTTCATCTTATCCATATTATCATCGTAAATTTGGTACTGTTAAAACAATCGATCAATGTGAAATTCAAGATCAAATATGTTTTTATGAAGCTGAAATGGCTTATTTACGTGAAAAACGTATTGATACAATGATCGTAGAAATTCTTCATGATCGTTTAACACGTTGCATTGCATATGAAGGTCGTATTGATGCATTAGATAAATGTGCTAAAGAAAAAGATGCTTTATTTGAATCACATGCTAATTGGTATCAAAAATATGGTGAAATGGGTGTACCACATAGTTGTGTTGATGCTTATATGAAACAAAAACATCTTATGATATGGATGCGTCGTCATCCTGAAGTGGATCTTAAAGGATGGGGAACTGAACGTGATTATGAACGTAAAACAAAGGAATATATCAAGAGCATTCCCATGCCAATGGAAATTCGATAGACATAATAAACTTAAACATCATCCTGTCCGTTTGTTTTTCCCTTGTTAGACTATATATTACGACTTGTATTTTCCTTCCTACCTTTTTCTTTTTTGTATAAACACATTTATCTCCGTGCATCAGTATGGAAAAAACAATTAGTTATTCTTTCTTTTCTCTTAATTTGATTTCTAGAATGAGACAAGTTGATACATCAGTATCAATTATAGATCATTTTGATCTATTTACAATTGTATTTGATATATTAATTTCGATTGTTGGTGGTCTAATTGTTAATCGTTTAGTACCAATATTAAAAGATAAATTTATTCGTGCTCAATTATGGGGATATGATTTGAATAAAAGAAATTCAAGAGAAATAAAAATGTAAGTTAAATTATAGAAAATAAAAAGAAAATCTATGTGTTAATTTTTCTAGTGCAGAATCCCAGGGTGTTATAGCAGCTGGTATTTTTCTTATTTTAATGTTTATTATGATTGCTATTGTATTTTCTGAACATCTACATCCAAAAAGTGATTTTCCACATAATAAAGTAAATAGTTTTTTTTTTCTTCAAGAATATTAAATTATTTTGCTTTTTCTTTCGTTTTTTAAAGTTTATTGAATATTTGGCTGCTTTACTTTCAATATGTTGTATGGTTCTACTTGGCTTTGTAGATGATGTACTTGATTTACGTTGGAGTGTGAAATTATTGTTACCTTTAATTGCATCTTTACCACTGTTACTAGTTTATTTTGCTAATTATCATTCAACAACTATTATTCTACCAAAGCCAGTAAGACCATTTTTAGGTCATCAATGGAATCTTGGTAGGATAGAATATTTGTCAAAGGCATAATCTTTGTCGATATTGATATAGGCATTCTATATTATGTCTATATGAGTATGGTAGCTGTATTTTGTACAAATGCAATTAATATTCTAGCTGGTGTTAATGGACTTGAAGTTGGTCAATCGATTGTTATTGCAGCTTCAATACTTATTTTTAACTTTATTGAATTACAAGGTTTGAAAATGATTTTCAATTAATTTGAGAAAAACTATTCGATAAATGTTATGTCAATAACTGAATCTTAGAATTTTAACATTAAAATAATTATCAATAGAGAGAAGAAAAAGATACTTTTTTTCGATTTAAGAGTACGCTTTCTCTCTGGTTTTTTGAAGAAAAACTCAATGTCTAGCTGGACATAAAGTATGATAGTCTCAAGTACCATATGCAAATAGAGACATCATTGAACTTTAAATAGCTCACTGTTATATTTTTACTGACTTCAGGAATTCTTTTCATAGTAATCATATTGAAATTCATTTCTTTTACTTAGTGTAACACAAAACACCTGTTTTTCTTTATCATAGTTGCTTACGATCTACCTCTAACTTTGTCTGATCGAGCTGAAATTTTCAATACACAGATCCTTGAAAATATTCTCGAAAGGTAAAATTGGTCGTTTTCGCTTTTGACTTTCCTATCCGAATTTATAGAGTTCTGAAAGTCAACACTTCTGTTTTGGCTTCGAACTTTTTACGTATTTCTGTAATAAAAAATCGGAAAGCCAGATTTTCGAAAACTCTTCAGCCGGATCCGATAAACTTTGATGCGAGATAGTAACGCACCGGGATACGTTTCAATGAAAAACCTGAGTTTTTCAAGAGTTCTCAGCAATGATTCGACCAAAAAATTATAAAACTTTTAAGGGAAATAGATTTCAATAAGTAGAGCAAAAGTTGCCGTAGACTCGAAATTCCTACAAATTTTCTCAGGAAGGAATGAAGATCATAAAAACTACAATACTGTTCTTGGAGCTGAGCAGAAGCAAAATATTGGAAGCACCGTCAAAGAGAACGTGTTTTTTTCAATGTTACTAATTTTTAAAGACTACCGAACGCACTCCAATTCGACCCATGTGCTCATAAAATAACTTCAGTCCAATTGAATGTACTGTGTGGGAGAAAACAGAGGAGGAAAACTTCGTATTTTTTGTTCAAAAATTGATTTTGAGCAAAATGCAAAAGAAACTTTCCTATATATATCACGGCTTGTCCGGCTAACGGTGAATCAGAGTGATTAAAGTAGAAGCTGCATATTTTCAGAAGCTAATAACGTCACATTATAGAGCACACCTTGCTATATTAAGAAACGTACTTCATTTTATCTTTTCTTCACACAGCTGAAAAAATGATGTACAAAACAGGCTTAGTGTGTTTTTCAAAAATTCTTACGGTTTTCGTACATACAAAGAAAATGATGGGAAAAGGGTGAAAACGCAACTGAATATTAAATAGTGATATATAGGGTGTCCAGTAAGTAACTCCACAAAGAAAAAGTTGAATATCTTCATTACAACTCGACCAAACGGGCTCATTTTTTTACCAAGGATAGAGGCATGTTCACATTTCAAATCNAATTAGTGAGTTGTTTAAATCTTTTTGTTTTCAAAAGATTATTGAATAAAAAATATTTAGCTTGATATTGATCCATTTTTACGAGAAAATGAACCATGTGCATTTTGTCCATTGTTTGCTGATTTGTTTTGTCGAAACTTTCATTGTCTTCGATCATATTGTAAACAATGTTGGGTGAATAGACATGGATCAAAACCACTTGCTGACCATCAACCAGTAACAAGAAAAGAACAAATATTATAACACGTTCGATAGAAAAAAAGAGTTGCGTGTCTATTGAATTTTTCGCTTTTTATGCCCGCTTTTATACAGTGTGCTTTTTCTTTCCTCGTTTTTTTATCTAGAAAAATTAGATACTATACTATTGTGTATGTGTGTGAATTTTTTTTTTTGCTATTATGAACTGTCTCTCGATCGAATTGCAGCGTGATGTGCTATCAATCGATGTTATTTTGTCATTGTTTGTTTATTTTCTTGAAAAATTGTAGAGTTATAATTTTGTGCGTGAACGAAGGAAAAAACATGAAAATTTTTGACTTGTTATCTTTGTTCTGATGATTTTTATATATATCTTTTTTTGTTGTTGAAAACAAAAAAAGATATATATAAAATATAGGAGTGTTTATGGTTGAATGAATAATTGCCTTTCATTTATTAATGTGTCATTAAATTTGACGTCAATCATTAATATAAGATTACATATTGACTTTAGATAATAATATATAACTAAATAACGTGCTTTTATTTGATTTGTATAGAAATTGCGAATATTTAATATATTACATACGAAATTTATTCAAATATTTGCGTTTTAGTCATTAGATTGTTTTTCGCCTCGTAATTTAATTTCATTGAGATCGAAGTATATCACAAGAGAAAAAAAGTTGTTTTTCGTTTTTAAATTCAATGAAACAGAATTTAAATAAAAAAAACTATTATAAAGTAAGAGTAAAAATAAAAACTGTCTTTGTTTTATAGCTGAGTTGCTGCTTCTTCGGAAGTTTTTACTCTATATGATAATTGTTGTTCACTAAATTTTTCATAACTATCCTCTATTGTAGAATTTGGATCATATTCAGTACGTAATCGATAAAGGGCATCAACAAATGTAATAAAATCAAGTGTATTAAGTTTTTTTCCATGAAATATTTTCGAATATTTTTTATATATTCGAATATATTCATTACGATAAAATAATTTTAAATGACGTGCATAAACAATGAGAGCTGTACCAGTATGAAATTGTTCAATATAAAGTGTTATTAAATCATTATGTATATGATTATCGTCAAACCATTTTCGAATATCTTGTTTGGTCCAATTTTGTAATATTAATAATAATTTATTTTCTTTATCGATCATTTGTTTTGGAATTGTTTCACATGATGAACATGCAACTGGTTCTTTTGATGGTTCAATAGTAGATTTATGATCAGTAAGAATTGTAGATGAAAGTTCTTTAATAGCATCTATAAATGATTTTCGTCCAAAATGAATATATTTTTGTCCAGCTATTCGAATACCAAGCCAACCACTAGCTCGATATTGTTGATTAGGAGGATAAATAGGTATAATACGTTTTTTAAGAGCATCACTTGCATATGAAAGTTCTTGTCGGCATGATTTGGAATTATAATAATCTTTTGAAACAATTAAAACAATGACAGTAGCCGCTTCCATAGCACAAGCAATTTCTTCCCAAAGATCATCTGAATGAGCAATTGTATCTTTTGCTTGTTTATAATCAACCCAAATAGGAACATAAGCAGATATATGTTCAACAAGTTCTCGACAAAATACGGTATCACTATGTGAATAACTAATCATAGCAAGTGGTTGTTGTTCAAATTTTTCATTTGATATTTGACTTGATGTTGATGGTGATGATGGTTTTAAATTCCATAGAATTCCTTCAGCTGCTTTTTTCAGTGAACACATATCACGTGAAATTGATTTTATTTGTGCACATCTATATGATGATGTAGCTAAATTTGATATTATATTCATCAGTATGGAATTTGTTTGAAATTTTTCATGATAACATTTATGAAATGATATACTCCAAAAAAGATTTGTTAATAAAACTAATGTTTCATCATTTGTTGGATGATGAGTTCGACTTGTATCAAAAGTTAGATTAGAAAAATGAATCATTAATTGACATAAACAATCAAATAATTGATTATTTTCATTAACAAATTTTAAAAGAACATCATCATTAACAAATAATTTACTAAGTACACTTAACATTTCTGATATATGAAAACATTTATAAAAGAAATACTCAGCATGTGATGCTTCAATTGTGTATAAAACAAGTTCATTAATAACAAGACACATACGATTATCATTTAATAATGATATTTGTTTTATTTCATCTTCTTCAATTAAAAGTGCATAGATCATATATTGAAGAACATGTAAACAATTGTATTGAATTTCTGTATGATATTTTTTCATTACTTCTTGACATTCATCAATTCGTTTTAGGCAATTTAATTGATTGAGAATTTGAACACCAAGTGTATGTCGAGCAAGTTTTTGAATAATAAGACATATAGAATAATCAATTATATATGATGGTCTTACACTATTGTTTACATCACTATTAACTAACCATTGAACACATGCATGAGGCCATTTATTACGAATAATCATTGGTACAAGTAAAGGATTTTTTGAAAAAGCTTTTACTAAACCTAGAATACTTTTAATAATCATTTCTCGATGTTGAGATAACCAATGACGTTTAGTAAATGTTAATAAATATGTAAGAAGATTTTCTGGAATTTTATCTTCAGTTACTGGTGTTAATACACTTGAATATGCTAAAATTGGCAATATACAAACAGCAAGATCATCATATTTTTTATTGTCAGTAAAATAAGTTTCTTTAAGTAGAACAATATAATTTTGAAATAAAAGTTGAACTGGTGATATATCTTTAAGTACAGTAAATATTTCAAAAAGACATACACCATCAAAAGCGTTTGCTAATGTTTCCAAAAAAGTTCTTGTTTCAACAAAATTATTATAACCATCTCTATCATAATTTGATAATATTTTATCAAATAATGGAACTATTCGATAAAAATTATCAATAATTCTAAAAGCAAATGGTTTGTTATTACTTAAACAACCATTCTGTATTGAACGTTTCAATAGAATATTTAATTCTTTAATAGCATCAGCGTAAGTACTTGGCGATTGTGACACAGATAAAGATTTTAGATTATTAATAAATTCATCATGTACCATTTGATCTTGTACATAAGTTAAATCACCACTCATTTTTTATAACGAAAAATGAAATCTTGAATTGAAAGTATATATTTATTGACTATACGTATTTTATGTTCGATTTTACCTTGTCAACAATATACGTCGCTAAAGTAATGCTTTGAGTGCATGTCAATTGTACGTATTTATATATACATTAGCATACGAAAACCACGTCATGTGAATTGGTATCAGCAATGCCTTGTCATGCTGATAACAGCAAAGCATATTAATTTTTATTCAATGATTACTAAAGATCAAATAGTGTTTTTTTGTATTGATTTTACAGGTGCTTTGTCAATAGACTTTTTTCTTACTCATACTCAATTTTATTCGATGAATAATTTTCAATATTCTTTTCATATTATGGCAACAACAACACATAAATATACTTAGACACGCACATAAACACAACAGAAAATAATATAGAACATTCTAAGAACAAAATTAAGCATTACGAATCAAATATTTTGTTCGTTTATTAGCATCATCTACGCGTTGTATTCCAGCTTCAGATTTTTCTGCAATGCGATCAATTGTTTTATTTTGATTTTGTATTGTATCACCCATATCAAGTGCCATATTTTTAAGATTACCCAAATAACTACTGACTAATTGTAAATTATCATCCATTTCTGTTTCACGATCATCATTTGTAATACGAGTTACATAACCACCATTAGGTATTCCTTCATCACCAGCCATACGTAGTTTAGGTTCTGTTATTGTAGGTGATGATGTTTCACTATTAAATGCTGTACTACTATTTGCATATGTTCGATATGTTCCACGAAAACGTTGCCATGGTAGAACACATAAACCGCAACATTTTTGTAAATTAGTTAAATTTTTTTCAGCTTCACTCATTCCGGCATGAATATTATCAAGACCAGCCTAATTTATGTTTACAAAATGTAATTAAAGTGAAGAAAAAGTTGAAAAAAAAACTCTTACATCAATTCGATTGAGTTTTTCACCTTGTTCATCAAGCATGATCATTGTATTCGTACCGATTTCTTGAGATTCAGCAACTAAACCAACCATACGACGTGTTGATTCCACTGATTCATTTGTTTTTTGATTAATTTGTGATTGAATTGCATTTAATTCATCATTATGTTGTTCGTCATTGTTATTAGATGGATACATGATTTTATGTTGTTTTTTGGTATCTTATGTTGTCACTTTTTGACTAAAGCCAAAGAACAAAATGAAGAATAGATAATATATATATATATATACATACATACATCAAGAAGCAAACGAAAAGATGTAACAGCAGGGTGAAACAAGTAAGATAGGGTAGTGATAGCGAACGAAAAGAAAAAGAATAAAGAGTAGCATGATGAAGAGATCAAGTTGTAAACAAAGATAGTTATCTCTTTTTTTTTATTTTTTATTTTTTATTTTTCTTGATAGTAAACATTATTTCATATTTATATATACTTGAAAAGAACAAGCATATAACTTGTTATTGATTATGAATTAAAAAACGAAGATGAATATAATTTAATCGAATTCAATAAGTAGAGATAAATCCAAAGTATTACTCAGATTATAATCATTAACAGACGTTGTTTTGTTTTCTGTAAAAAGTCTTTGAACACAATCTGTTTCTTTAATCAAACGAAATAATAACTCAACTGTTTCACTCATTAAGTACAGATGGCGCTTCATTACGCCATCTGTTATTATTGGTTAATTGGTTAGCACCTCTTTGTCTCTCTATGGACGGCTATCCGTCCGTCGAAGCAATATTCATTCATTGTTAATTGCATATCTCTATTCATATGTTTGATTTTTAGATCGTATAACGATGTCATCGTTTGCAAGTCCCATTCCTCCGCCTGTTTTTGACTCGGATGAATCGGATGTAGCCAGTCAACAATCAACAGACAGTAGTTATTTAGCATCACAATTTAATCGTCGTACTCGTCTATCATTTTCACCAAAATTAACTATAAATAGTAGTTGTAGTCAAGTTTTACCACCATCATCAATACTTTTTGATGATTCAACATGTGGTAGTTGTAGTCAACCATTACAAGATGATTCACGTAATCATAGTCAACAATCATCACAAGATTTTATTCTTAATGACTCAATTAATATCGAATCAGCCCTATCACGTTTAACAACATTATCTCAAACTCCATCCGAAATATCTTATCAATCATCACCTTTATCTTCACATATAACAAAATCGAATGAATTTAAATCACCTTGTCATCTTCGTTTTACACCATCATCGGGTACTGTTGCTACAAAAAAAACCACAAGTTATACAGTTAAATATGCAACAAAAAATACAAATAATAATACTACTACGAATAATAAACGTAAACGAAGTACAACAAGAAATCGTGAAACAAAAACACGATCAAACACATCTATTGATGGTATATCACTTAAAACACCTGATCAATCGCCATGTACACGACGAAAAAATCTTGATTATGTACAAGAAACTACATTTCGTTCACCAAAAGTTCAACGTCGTAGTCGTCATCATGATGATTCAATTAATTTAACAACATCGAATAGTTCAAATCATCATGAACAATCAATGTCAAAATCAAAAGGTAGAATTTTGCTACAACCTTATTTCTATATTTAAAATTTATTCTTTTTTTTATTAGGTGATTTAGTTAATACGAATCCATTTAGTCCACAATTAGATATTTCACAAACAAAACGTGCTAAACTTGATTCACCATCTGTACCACAAAATACAAAAACCACAACAACAACACCACGTTATCGTACACGCCTTGTTGCTAAACGTGATCAACAAACAATTGTTCATGTACCATCAGAACGTCGACAATCATTACGTAATGTTCCAGCTAGTTCACCAGCATTACGTGAATTAACAATTCGACGATTTGATGAAGAATTTCATCAAGAATTTTTACTTGGTCAAGGAGAATTTTCACATGTTTATTTATGTAAAAATCGTCTCGATGGTATAACGTATGCTATTAAAGCATCTAAACAACCAGTGCTTGGTACAAGTTATGAACAAATGGCATGGCGTGAAACATGTGCACATGCTATACTTATATCACATGAAAACTTAGTACGATATCATTCAGCATGGATTGAACCCGATGGTAGATTTTTTGTTCAATTAGAATATTGTAATGGTGGTTCATTAGGTGATATATTAGAAAAAAATCGACGTAATCATATGTTTACAAATGAACAACAATTAAAACAAATTCTTCATCAAATAAGTGATGCTTTAGCATTTATGCATGCACAAGATTTAGCACATTTAGATATAAAACCAGCTAATATTATGTTATGTCAACGTTCAATAAATATTAATTTTAATAAAGACAATGATGACAATAATAATAATGATGATGACGTAAATGTAAATAATATAATTTATAAATTAACTGATTTAGGACATGTTAGTCAAATAAGTTTATCATCAATTGAAGAAGATGGTGATAGTCGTTATTTAGCATTAGAAGCATTACAAAAATCAAATTCAAAACAAATTAATTTAGGTAAATGTGATATTTTTTCATTAGGTTTAACATTATATGTTTGTGCAACAAATCGTGAAATGCCTAAACAAGGTAATGAATGGCAACAATTAAGATTAAATATTAATCATTATCTTCATTCAATTTCACATTGTACAAGTCAATTTAATGAACTTATACTTGGACGTATGTGTAATGTCGATCCGAATCAACGACCATCAGCTTATGAAGTAAGTTTTAAAATCGATGCATGATATGAGAGAACATATTCTACTGATTCTGATCTGAAATTTCTAGGATCTTCTACTCTAACTGAGATTCTAAAAGGGTTTGGGTTCCTGTTGACATTTGACTAAGCTATCGAATTCTGGTCTGAATCTTTGTGCATGTAGAGAACTCAACTAGACTGACGTCCTTAGAAAAACTCACAAGTCTCTTTGAGATATGAAGCCTTCAAAAAATCTATGTTCTATGCACTATTGAACTTTGATAGCTTAGTCAAATCGAAATCATTTTAGAGGTTTTATTAGAATACTATGTAGTGTCTATAGGTAAAAACAAATGATTGAAATTGAAAGAGGACAGCTGAAGAGGTTCCCTCGTAAGATGTCACCAATGGCTTTTCTAAACGGTGACTCTTGTTTTAGATAAAATTTTAATTGATTGTAGTTGTAAAAATTTGTATGAACATGAGTCTCTGTATATTTGATAAATCATTCTTTTAAATATAATGTTGTTTCTTTATTCAGAATCATCGTACTAAATACGAAAAATAAGTTTAATAGGACTCTTGTTTGAACCTATGATATGTTTGGAGAAAGACTTGATTCCATTCATGGTCACTTGGAATTGTATTGAGTTTTGAATACTGACAACGAACTACTGCTTGATCCCATAGCTCATTACCTATTTATTATAGATTTTCGAATGTTTAAAATTTTTTTTAGCTTTTACTTAATCCTATTGCCAGTCCATCGTTGCCGACTAGTCGTGAATCACTGCGGTAGGTTTTATTGATTGTTACGAAAATAGTATTACCTTATTTTCATCATTTAGACATAGTTTAAAACGTGAGCGTCTCAAGAATTTAATGTTAAATAAAAAATTACTTAGTCATTATCTTTTAACAAATTCATCCGATCTTCAAACATTACCAACAAGTATTAATGATACAAATAATACAAGTATTCAATGTCAACCATTGTTTGTTTCTCCAACACAATCTACAATTGTTCCACAACATCAATATGCGTCAACGCCAAATGATAATTCAAGAAAGCTATTAATTAATACATCAAATACACCAGCATACTCAATAACAGCATCAACAATAAATATGAATCAATCATTTGCATCACCAGTACGTGGAGGTTCACTTACAATGAAACAACAACCAAAATTAGTTGGTTCTAATATGCTTCGTCATTATTCCAGTATCATCTAGATTCGATTTCAATTATGCTCGTTTTTCTTTTTTCATAAGTAGCCATAATACACTGTGACATGTTCACCAATCAACACGTTGTTCTCTTATATTGCTTATCAACCAATAATAATAATAAGATGAATAAAATTTTTTTTCTTGCTATGTCTCTCGCCTTTTTTGTTCTTTCTCTCGATCTTACGAAATAGTAACAAGATTGTATACATTTCTTTTTTTGTTCTCAAACATGATCTCTAGTCCTATTGCTTGTCTATCTCTGTAAAAATTTGGCCTATTTTTCTTTTTTTGGTAATCTGTATTTTTTTGCTCTTGTTAGATTTGTTCGAAATGAAAAAAATTTATTATTGATAAGAATGAAAGAAAGAAAAAAAAACTTTGTATTATTTTTCTGTATTGAAGATGTTTGACAACAATGATGAGTGTAAGCAATCATCAAGTAAACTTATTTGGCGTATTATAAATGGGATTGGATGTTTATTTTTTCTCTTTGCTGCTTTCGTTAATTTAAATGATCACGATTGGCATTTATGGGTAACAATTTATATGTGTACATCTATTTTTCTTGCTATTGAATTGTTTAATTATCGATCATTATCGATTGTTATTATTTATATGAATGCTTTTGTTTTTTGCATACTTCTTGCATTCGGTTGTCATTTTCTTTTCAAATATCAATATGAAAACAATATCAATAGTATGAGAAATCATTTTTTACATGACGAAGAAGGACGAGAATTAAGTGGATTAGCTTTAGCTAGTGGTTGGCTATTCTTAATATTATTAAATCGTTTAATACATTTTAATTATCGTTTATCATTTGTTATTATTTCATGCGGATTATTTCTTACGTTGGTGCCTGTTGGAATGTGGTCTGTTTGTTTTGTATCCGATGATTGGCGACAACGTTTTCCTCAATGTCATTCTATGATTGCATCTGAACATCATTCTCATTTTCATCCGACTTTATAACAAAAAAAGATGTTTTTTTTCGTATATGCATGAATAAATCTGTTGTTTTAGTTTAATATTTAAAACATTGTCATCTATTCTTTGTTAAACATAAACACATTCCTTATTTATAGTTATTGTTATGGGAATATTTAATTGGGTATAGTGAATTAGTATAATCATAATAAAAAATAAATAAATCAAAGATCTTTAATTATTTTAGATAAAGACAAAATCATGTCAATGTTTAGTCTATTCATAATCGATGTGATTGTAATGATTATAATCATCTATTTACTTACTCAATATGTTCTCAATGAACGACAATTATTTAAGCTTAAATATGCCTTTTATGTTACTATTGTCATGTTATGTGCCATTATATTACAACCTATATTCTTTCTACGACCATGCAATGCACTTAACATACGTCTAGCCTCTATAGTATTGAATCCAATATTTCGTTTATTAGGTTTAAAATATCATGTGGAAAATGCTCAAGTATTAGATAAAGATAAACCTTGTATTATTGTTGCCAATCATCAATCATCTATAGATTTTATTGGCATGATGCATATTTGGCAAGAACATATTCGATATTGTACAATTTTAGCAAAGAAAGAATTGCTTTGGGTTGTACCATTTGGTATATCATCATGGTTAGCTGGTGTAGAATTTATTGACAGAAAAAATCGTCAACAAGCAAGTGAAACAATGTTTTATATAATGAAAAAAATTCAAAATAAATCTCTTCGATTATGGATTTTTCCTGAAGGTATAATATATATATTAAATTCATTAGCATTTAATTCGATCTTTTTCCTTTTCTAACATTAGGAACACGAAATATGAATGAAACATTTCTTCCATTTAAACTTGGTGCTTTTCGTTTGGCTATTCAAGCACAAGTACCAATTGCACCGATTGTTTTTTCGTCTTACAAATCGATATATAATGCAAACAAATCGAATAATAGTTATTATTGGCGTCCCGGTTGTGTAACTATCAAATGTCTTGAACCAATCGATACAACAGGTATGACACTTGAAAATGATCTTCATCGATTAACTGAAATGACTCGAAAACGTATGCTTGATGAATATCTAACAATTCAAACAACTGTGGACGAAGACAAAAAGTGCAAATGATAATGAGATACTTGAGATCGAATGTATGCATTAATTATTATTAACGTTAAGAAGGAACGATGATCCGGTGAAGAGTTTTGTGTTTTATTTAAGTGTGATATCTGCTTACTCATATATTCTTTCTTCTTTTTTTTTTGTGTAATATGAACGAATATAAAATAAGCTTTTTTTTTTTGTCTTTCTTCCAACACTGTTTTTTTTTGTATACGTGTATAATCCATTTGATAAACTAAGTCTAATCATCATTGTTTACCTTCCTTCTTGATATTGTGTTAATCTCTATCTTTTGTTTTATATTTTGTCATTGATGATGACATTATGTTAACAAAGAACAAATAGAGAAACGAATCTATTTTGAATATTGAAACATGTTAAAAAAAAGTGATAAATAAAGGATTTATATCTTGTCAACGCCCACTTGAGAATCTTGATCAAAAACTTCAATGAAGTGCTATGAAATGAAAAATAGTAATTTACAAAATTACAGCTGCTGTGAAGAAATAATATTAAGCATAATTTGTAACAAATAAAAAAAAAAAGTTCTTATCGAATTTTTTAATTATAAAATAGCTTTTATTTAATAGTAACTGATAATTGAACTATGAAGCTTATTTTATGATTTCTGAAATTGAGTCAAGAACATTGAGGGTATGATTTACAGATTGACCTTGAAGATTAACGACGCAACCAGACAGGGTTGAACCCTCCGTACAATTGATTTTCTGGTTATGCCACTAGTTAATTTGTTGTTAATACAGTTTTGAAGCGATGATTATGCTACAAGAAAGAAAAATGATATGAATATATATGGCCTACAGATAAGGATAATTATCTTACATAAGCATATGCTATCAATACCTTGCGTATCGTCAAGAACAATAGTTAAGGTTGAATTGAGAAAATGTATACTAGCCTGTGACAGTTACAGTACGATTTGTATAAGAAAAAAAAATAATATAAAATAATATAACGAAACTTTGTATTGTGCTATAGGTTCTATTCCAATCAAAACTATTCAGATTCAAAGATATCAATGGAAATGAATAACGTTTATTTTTCAATACTTTGAAACATGTATCACTGAAGAAAATGAAGCACTAGAAAGGATAAACAAACTTTAGATTTTTAAAAATAAAAACTTAATATAAGAGGATCAAGATAGGAAAAGTATCGACTGAAGCTAAATAATATGTGCATTATATTTAACTAAAAAAATATTTATACTTTTAGATGATTTTGATTCAGCAAAAATTTACATCATTAAAAGATTCCTCAATTGACGGACTTTATTTAACAAGAAAGAAAAGGAGTCATGTACTGTCGAGTTTTTGATAAAAATCAGACAATTCTATGACAAAGGCAATGTTTCGAAGCTGCCTACATTAGATCATTATGATTTAAACTATAAGATTTTACCAGAGAAGTCCTTCAACTGATCAATTGCTTTTGGGTCGATACTATGTGCATTATGTAGATCCAAAGGAGCTATGACTACTTTGAACTGTGTGGCTTTTGCACCACACATATAAATCATCAAATTTGATGTTTTTACTTTAGAATTTGTGTATTCAATCAGAACTGAAACTAGTCCATAACTCATTCGTGTCAGTTTTGACCATACTACTGACTTTTTAATGAAGAGTATTAAACATTTCCAACCTAGTAACTTTGACTCAGATTTGCTTTTCAAAATGCAAATTCTATACAGAAACAAATCATTTGTGTTCTTCAATACATCTGTAGAGATATCTTAAAAGGCTATTTATTATCAGATGACTCCATTATTTCATTCAAAAGGTGCATGAATTTATTCAAATAAAACAAAAGCTCATATGAATTATTCTTCAAAATAATAAATAAAAATTTTTGTTTTTTTTGTTTATGGTTAATCTGTGTATCAAAATGTCTTTTTTTATTATATGGGGAATATATATATATATATTTATATACAAAAAAAAAGCAGTTTTCTTCTATTGATGTAAGACAGACATCGATGGTGTATTGGTTAATGGCTCGTCCTGTATTGGTTGACATATTCGTGCATTTTTAAGTAGTTTTGAATAATTATGACGACGACTAAAATTAAAACATAAAATCAACTAAAAATTTATTCTATAATATACATATATACATACATTCGTTGAAAGAAACAAACAGTCAAACCAAATATAATACCAACAAGAATAATTCCTAGGAGAACAAATAATAATCGACTTGTTCGATTAACAATCAAACTTTGATTGAAATCAGTCGATAAATATAATGATTGATCATCATTTAAACGTTCAATATCAATTTTAGCTTGAAAAAGTGCACCTAAACAAAATAATCAATATACTTAAAAATATTTGTATATTGATGGAAACCTGTCAAAAGTGCAGTATAATTATATAATAATGGTACATTGCCAGTTTTCATATTAGCAGGTAAAACAGGTTCATCAGCAGTTACATTTAAACGAATCGATGATGAACCATATGGAACAACATTTATTAAATGAACATTACCAATGCCATATCTTTTTTGTTATGTGAAATAAAATTAGATTTCAAACAAGAAAAAAACTTACTCAGCATCACAATGATAATCTTTTTTACAAAATTCATTTAAATGATGAACAATTGATGTTCGGGTTCCATTCCATAATGATTGTTCCATCCACTATTCGAAAGAAACAATTCTAACAAGAAAAAACCAAAAATCCAAATCTTACTGTTTGTAATGTAAATCCATCCAAAATAATCGACACAGGTAAAGTTGTTTTAATACCATCTGTATTTATATTTAATAAAAAAATTAATATTTTTCAAATAATAATTTACCTGTATAAGCAATTCTTATAGTTGCCAAAAGAGTAGTAGTTATGATGGTTAACAGCATCATCTTGCAACTAATAGAAAAAGAAAAAGGTCAATATGACCACTATCTGAACTATATATAAATATATATGTGAGATATCTATGTGATATGGGATGCTATTTCCTTCGTTCTCTTCCTATTATGATGACCATCAATGTAATGTTGAAGATGATGATTTATTTTTTCTAGCACATAGAAAGATACTGTCCGACGATGAGAAAAGAAAAAAGAAAACACATTTTGCCTTGCCCTCAATCTATCGAACATGCTTGCATGAATATGCATCTAATTGCAATCCTTCTTCATCTCTAGGGCCCGTCTGCCTATATAGGGAAATCAGTTGAGCATCATTTCTTTTGTATAGAAACACACATGTGTAAGAGATTACATATATGAAACGAAGAAAAAAGAAAAAGACTTTGTTCAAACTGTGACTGATTTCATACTTGTGCTTTTCTTTTTTCTTTTTTTCGTTCAATAGAATGATGATCATATATTCAAGAATGTTCTATATTTATCAATCAATCAATCGATTTTTTTCTCGAGGAATGTATGTAAAACAGATGTTTCGAAGAATATACAATAAATCAATCATTGTCATGATGTATTTTATCTATGCTCGAATAAACTTTATGTTTAATTAAAATTAATGTTTATTTTTCATGTAAAAAATATTGGAAAAAAAAATATATATTCATGATTATGAGATACGATTAGAATATAGATAGATGAGTTAATTTGAGATAGATATGATTTTGTATTTTGTGCTTGAATACTAAATTAATAGTAGGTACGAAAAGCAAAATATACAACAGAATGCAGCGTGAAAATCTTTACATTCTACAATATAAATCTAACTATATATATACACATTTACTTTTCAAAATAGACAAAATTCTGTGTGACTGATTTGGGACGCTGCGAACAAGATCATTTTTGTTTGATATACGATAAATTTCTTTTCTTATTTGATCAATCAATGAATCCGAGTTCTCATCTTTATTTCATTGTATA